GAGACAGCCTAGTTTTTAGTGGCTGTAGCAGGTTCCTCCCAGAGGACCACAGGGCGCGAGGGGAATCATAGTAGGGATAGATGTCTGTTTCATGTTCTCAAACATTTGCACTCTTCCAAGTATGAATTCATTCTTCCCCATTTCCACCTCCATTTCCAAATGTTTCTTTAAAAGTCCATCTTAAAATGTGCATGTATTTTTGTCCACATTTGCATGTGTCTGACTGTACATGTTTAGCATGCAGCTTCTTCTAATATGTAGTTCCTCAAGCATTTTCCCATAAAAGATGCTGTTTTAAAATCCATCTGTATATGTACTTTTATTTACAGAACTGCATCACAAAATTCTGAGAAGCCCCCAGAATCTGAAGGATCATGGTATTAACTCAGGAAGTGTAAGCTTAAGCCAGTTTGTATTAAATGCAAACCAATTTTTACCCTATCTCTAGAAATTAGAAGGAGTATAACTATTAGACCAGTGGTTCTTAAACTGCTCCTCCAGTGATTCCATACTTGACCTGGCTTCTCATCATTGGGGTGGGGTGGGGGACATTTTTAACACTGCACCTGGATAAGATGAATGCACTTGAAGTGCTAACTTTTTCTAGTGAGAAAAGCAAACACACAATACCAACAGTGTAAAGATGCCATTGCTGTAATAGCTGTGGAAAAAGCACTGCTTCCTGACATCTTAGAAGAAAGCCGTACAGAATTTATAAAGCAACGTCGAAACCTGCCTTTCTCAAACTAGCCCTTCCCAATGTGTGGTCTGAGACCTACTATTATGACTTCAGAGCATAACTGCATGTCACAAATTGTGCCATTCATTAAACAGCTTGCAGTGCCTGTGAAGTATTGCTGTACAGGTGTCATTTGAGTGGGTGCAGCTGTCATTCCAATATGCAACCTCAGGAAATAGTTGAATCTACAGCGGAGTGGAAGAACAACCCAATCACATATTTGACACAGGGACTGACTGGGACTACTCAACCTCTGCATGTCACCCCCTGGATTTCTGCATTTTTTTCTATATTTCATGCCTGAAAACAGGAACACTTATCTGGTATTTCATGAATTCCAATTCTATATTTCATGAGTTCCAATTATATCCCACCCCTTCACTGGAGAGCTTGATGGGGTGGCATGCATGGATCTCCTCTTCTCCACTTTATCCTGAAAGCAACTCTGTAATGTAGGTCACGGAGGAGAGGGAATGACTGGGCCAAGGTCACTCAGTGAGTTTCCTAGAACAATAGGAACTTCAGCCTTGATCTCATGTCTCAATACCACTTCCTAACCATTACACCACACTGGCTCTCACAACTTTAGAAGCTCACAAGTTTCTACAATCCCTGTCAACTTACCTTCCTCATGATCTCTTCTTCCAATATCAGTTAGCATTGCCAGGTGATAGAAGGGACAGGGCTGAGAAGAGGGACTTTCAGCAGGTGTCCTTTATCACTGGCGCCCACGCTCGCATGCACATGCACACGGTGGCGGCCGCCATTTTCGAAGGCCCCACGGTGGGCCAAGGCCCAGGAAAGCCCCCACTGCACCTGAGCCATGCAAATTTGCCTTCCAAAATGGCGCCCCTGCATGTGCATGCATGCGCATGGTGGTGGGCAGCATGTGCATACAAGCATGTGGGGGTAAGCGTGCGGCTGCCCACTTGTCTGCCACACCATTCCCCCCCTTCCGGCCCCCCGGCAACAAAGGTTGCTGACCCCTGCTTTAAGAACTGTTCCTGGTGTTTCTTTTATTTGTTGATCCATTCAGTACTGTAAAGTCAAGGAGATGTTTTACTCTTGCAGTTAATTTTTCTTCAACATATGATACGTCACATTATCAAGAATTAATTTCAGTTGCAAAGTGTAAATTGGCAGGCTTTGCACAGCCTAGCACCGTAGTGGTGATGCTTCCCTACTTGTGAGTATGCGCATTACAGAAAAGATGACTCTGCGTACACACTCACAGATTTAATTTCCAAAGACTTTGAGGGTAAACTTGGAATAAAGGCAATCTTCTGATAACAAATTTCTTGACAAGTACCACAAAGGAGGCTCTGTCCCTGATTAACAGAGAATGTTGAATCACGTGCATTAGATATTCCTCTGGGGAGCTGGTGCCTCTTTCCTGTCTTTTGGAGTGGTAAAAGGTAAAGACTAACTCTGCCCCAAATGTTTAATTCAGAATATATATATAATTAATGCACATCAGCTGTCACAAGTTTGAGAAACTCTGCTCTAAATCACAGGATGTTCATATGGTCATTGAAAAAACGTGATGTTATCAGAACCCAAATAACCTCTAAACCTTTTTTGAGCTTCCCTCATCAATGGTGGCAATACGTCAGCTTTCTTGAGGAAGTTAACTACACGATTGCAGCTGCTCCTGGAATCCCCCAGCTTTAACTGGTTTCAGTAAGACCTTTAATGCCCCTTAACCATAATGTATCCATGTTGTATTTTAATTTTAAAGGGATTATCGAGAAAATCTACCCTTTCCGTCAATTTTCTTTGAAGGACTGATAAAGGTTTCAGTAGATATTCACTAATA